CAACTCCATTTGTCAACTGTCCTTCCACATTATCTACATCAGACTTTCTTCCTTGATGCCTTAATCTCAACAAGAGTCTTTTAACTCACCCAATAATGGATCCCAGTTACGAAGATGTTACTTTCTAATAGAATGGAAAGTAAAAATAATATAAAATAAAAGGTCATTGCGAAAACCCATCGTCTCACCGAATCCGTTTTAGTCTCGCGAGATTTTCTGTTGGCGCTTTCGTGTAAAAGTGAAACGTTCATCAACACAGGAAATGTTTTTATTTCTGACACGCATGCACATGAGCAATCTTAAAAAGACACAACAAAAAATTGGCCTCCATTTTATTTTTCAGCGACTTCTCAGTCATTGAACTTTCACCTGCTATCACCCGTTAGTTTTTCCTCTCTGCCGTCACCCACTATCCGTCCTGTCTTTTCTCGTTCTTTTCTTTACACGAGAACGTCAGCAAATTATACAAAGGACACTGAAGACGAGAAGTGAAAAGGCTGTATTAGACAACCAGGTCCGGATAACGTCTTCCGCCTATCTGTACTGCTGTCCATTCGACTGTAGAGATTCACATTATCGACTGACAGATATACAAGTAACAAGTTGGACATCGCTCGGAACACGAAAATAAGTATTAGTTATTTTAAGTCCAATATTTAAGCTGTCTTACTTGCTAAGCTGCAAAAAAAGACTCTTTTTGCAGGATTTTACATTTAACTATGGAATTGGCTCCGCTTAACCGCCTTCTTCCACACATTTTTGCCTTTTTTTTTTGTTTTTAGTTGGTTTTCAGTCGCCTCCATTAGTGAGTGGTTTAACAGGAAATAAATACGATCGGGGTCGTGGCTTACTGTGATTTGTTTTGAGTGCATCGCTAATGTTATTTCCTGGGGACTGTCAAGGCTCTTAGTTTAATGCTAAACGTTCTTTATCTGAGACAAACTTAATGCTGTTTTAGTTTGTAACTTGATATTTACTTGCCTTCACCTCATATATCTTTCATACACTGATGCATATCTATCTTTCACTCTTTCTGCTCTATGCGTTGAGGAATGAATTTAAATATCATGCAAGATCACATCGCATCCCTGTTGACAAAAAGAAAACAATACTCCATTTGTTAATATCAATGTATTGATGTATTTCATATACATTTTCAGCTTAGCATCGTCTGGTACCGAACCACAAGACTAGAACTAGCGAGGAGAAAATTCACGACATTTTCAACTCAATTTGCTAATCTCAGTCCACCCGGTTAGTTGGGATCAAGAATATACTGATAGTATACCCATGCAGTGGTGTAAGCCTTCCCCAAAATATGGTAATTCATTTTTTCGTCATAAGGAATATTCAGCATTCACTGATCGTGTTACGATTTTAAATTGTAAAATATTTCTCGTAGCACTATTATTCGGGAAAATAGTTTTTTCAAGTTCAATCGCTGTGATCAATCTGTGGAGAAATAGGATCAAGGAATTCTAACTTAACCTTAGCTGACGCCACGATGTCTCGCCTGCCCGGTCGGAGCTGACATTTGCAATTTAATTAAAGCGTATTCGTGGTTCTAGCTCTTTTAAAGCTATCGTTAATTCGTATGCGTGGTCAAAAGCCTGAATAAAAGGTGAGCCGTACAAACGAGAAGGTAATGATCTACAAGACTTTGAACTTATCTGGACCGGGTTCTTTGTGACTATCAACTACAATTGATAGCGGCTTCCTTCTTTAATGTTTTATTTGAACTAGTATTGAACGTCAGCGTCTTAGTTATATCCTTATTTTCACTTCGAATTAGATGCGATATACATTTTAGCTGTTGCTGTTGTTGAAAGTACTCTAGTGACATGGTTTCTGTGATTTGGTATATTTCTAGTGATTCTGTTGTGCCAGTCTACGAGGTACGAAGAAGAATGGTTTCATTTTCTCGAAGACATTTTTAACGATTGATTTGTGAAAGCGGTTGTATACAACTGAGAGTTTAGATAATGCTCAATGTGTCTGGGGCCATGCCGAACAACCATATAAAATGTTTGATCTGATGACACTATTTAAGAATACTGTGGACAATTCCCCGGCTCCTAAAACCTGACATAGATCATTTATAAGCTCGCTCGTGTTCCCAATGTAACAGGACATCAAGCAAAGCTCCTTAACCATTTCTTCATATCCTACCCTGTAAATGATTCTCTGAAATGTTGCCCACCTGCCAAAAACTTCAGACCGTTTATTCATCGCAGTTGATGCTAAACCAAACGCATCCCCTGATAGGTCGTTCCATAGAACGATTTTTCGGTACACGAAAACCGACTAGGGCAACTTCAGATATTATATGGTGGAAGTTCCTCTCTCAGACTTCTTCCTACATACTATCTCCAGAACTGCCACCTTCATCTCAGAATAGTGCCTTTCTGGAAAGGAGAGCTTTATAGAAAAAATCCAGCAAAATTCGAACAATCAGCTATGGTTCACTCCTGAATATGTGGGGCAGACTTAGTTCATCGTAACCACTACATCTATCGTGGGAACGGTGTAGTATGACACTTATTCATAAATACCCGGTATCGTTGCAATAGTCTTCTAGAAAAACCGAAAATGTAACTATGCACAGGCATATCGTAAATGGTCCTGGAGTCATCTTATCCTCATTAAATAAAGCTCTTCGCCACAATTTTCTCTCGTCTCACAGAGGACAATGTCAGCAATATCTTTAGCCCAACCCGAGACGTTTCACGACATCAAAAGTCTTCTCCCTAAATAGTTGTTATTAAAAATATCAACCCTGAGCTTTCTCCGATCTTAGCCAAACTAATTAACCGCTGCTTGAAGGAATAATACTTACCAAGTCTATAGAACGTATCAAGTGTATACCCTGTTTCAAGAATGCGGTTGAGCGCTCATAGTCATCTCAGTCTAGACTCATAAGACTCCTCACATCATTGGCAAATTTTTTGAAGCTATAATCATTAAGAATGTTGTTGATCACCTCAATAGACACAACCATTTGAACGACACATAATAAGAATTTCGATCAACATTTCTGATATCTTAAGTGTCATTATTTATAGAATCAGTGAGATACTAGACAAAAAATAGATCTCAAGGACGATCGCATTAGATATTTCAAAGTCCTTCCACAAAACATAGCTTAAAGAGTTGCTGCAAAAACTCTCTAGCTATGGAATCATTGGAATACTCTATTCTCAATTATCAAGTCCTTCCTAAGAAGTAGGTCCCTGAAGGTAGTTGTTAATGGACAGTCCTCTGAGGCCTAAGTGATCAAAGGAGGCGTCCGCCATGGGTCGCTTCTCGGTCTAAATTTCTTTCTACATCGTATTAAGGATTTGCTTAAGAGCAGACTCCGATCATTTGTGCATATTTCTGCTGATGATATATTGGTGCACCGCTAACTGTAGATAACCAAAGTCTGACATCTGATCTCTCCTCTGACTTAGCTCTAACAGTTCAGTAGAGTAGGGGACTGGCTGCCCACATTCAATGCTTAGAAAACCAAACTAGAGAGGTTCCATCATCACCGAGCGGACATTGAATTTTGACCTGAAAATGAGCGGGTGTTCTCTTAAAGTGCTTCCATGATTTCAGCGCCTCTTGGGAATTAAGGTTCAGATCAAACCTCGAGTGGAACTTGTACATACGATCCCTCGCTAAATCTAGTTCTAACTATCACGGATAAGACCAGACGTGTCGTGCATATTGCAGCGAATTACCTTCATTGCATTCATATTCCATTGGTGAGATGTAAGTTCCAATCGAGCAACTTCTTCTCGCAAACCGCTGCATCGTTAAATCGACTCCCAAGACGATGCACCCCCAACACTACAATCTTAATCTGTTCAAGACTAGAGTCATCCATTATATTTCCAAATTATCCTCATAAACTGTGCTTCTATATCTCTCTATTTCGAGTTTCTCTTTGACTCGTATAGAGTGAAGATTATTGTGAAAAAAAATTACAACAGGTCTTATGTATTTTTTTTCTTTTCATTTTTACTACCCACCGTTTCAATTTCTTTACCCAAGAGCCACATAAATAAAACGTGTTTTCTTTCTAGCGGGAGACATTACTTGAACCTATTTGGCTACCATATTGACTTTTGACTTTGGACCTTATGAACGTATCTTATATCACAAGTCTACTCTCTGACGTGTTACTAATTTCCATTTCCCTAAACACATTTTCAATTATAGCCATCACTTTTACTTTATCAATAATCTCTCCAGAAAAGAACGATAAATGATGATAAAATTATGCATTTTATAATAAAAATATCAATTATCTAAGATTATAATAAATACATAAATATTTGAATTCTTAAAATAGATTATTTATTTTAAGAAACAGGAAACTATTGTCAGAAACAAAGAAAGGACTACCAAACTGTTATGTAATAACAGTCCTGCTATATGACAGTGGATGCTCTAAAATCTACTCAAATATGAAGAAGGTGTCCTGGGTAAGACGATAAACTACGTCCAACAGCAAGGCCTCTGGTCAGGATGTTTGAGGAGTGTGGAACCAACTCTTAATTGCTGGTCTTCCCAGCTCTACCCTGTCCCGAGGTGGTAGCACCTATTAGGGTTCCAGCTATGGGCAAATAGTTAACCCCTAAACTGGGGTCAAAACACTATGAAAGTGTAAAAATAGGTTTTAATATCAGAAATACCAGAAATAAAAAATATATTATCAGCAATACATTTTTGAAAAACAAATATTACCAGCAGTATATTTTTTGACAGAAAATATTACCAGAAATAGATTTTTGGAAAAAAATATTACTAACAATGAAAATTTTGTCGGCATTAGCATTGAGATTGATATGCCGTAAACCAAACCAAATCAAACCAAACCAAACTATTGCGATGAATATTTCAAAATTTTGTTGGCATTAAATGACCCACTGAGATTCATATGCTATAAGACAAAACAACCAAGCCACCAAAGGTGAAGAAGAAACTTAAATCAATAGTAATGTGCCGAGGATACCATGTGGACCAGACATGAGTTTGACCGTTGCGAGCCACGTCTTGAGTTGACCACCTCGGCGCTTCCTCCAACCAGTGGGTGCGTTTGGCGCCACCAGTTTACGGACGAACTCATCACCAGGCCGCCGCAGCACGTGGCCGAACCACCGGAGTCTCCTGTTCAGCAGAGTTTCTTCCAGGCAAGAACTCATGTCCGGTCCTCGCGTTTTCGGGGTCCGACGTTGGAATCGCGAATGGCTCGATCATGCCGTCGATTCTGCTGCCGATCGACGGCGGTGGATGATCTTGACGCGCGATGCGGTTAATTCAATTGGAGCCGGCTCAACCCACCCCGGGGTGAATGCCGTTACAAGACAAGACAGAGGATACCATGTGCTGAACATGTGATCAACGACGAAGTTCTAACGACGTTAGCAACAAAGAGGACATTTATACTTAGCCTCAAGAAAAGACATTTGAAATTTCTAGGACACATAATGAGGAAAGGGGTCTTAGACAATATGATAATCACAAAACAGATTGAAGGTAAGAGAGACACGGGAAACTAACGCAAGACCAGCTTGAGTGAAAGGATGACGGGGAAGTGTTTGGCGGAAATGGCAAAAAGACAAAATTTATTAAGAAGCTACAAAGGACAAGAAATTGTGAAGAGCCATGATCGGCAACGTCCTGAAATCATAGAAAAAAAAGATTACCAACATTCAGTGGGCAGTTGATCAGTAAATATATCTTATATAAATTGATAAATAGCTGCAATTATAAATATCTGGGGGGGGGGCATCTTTAATTACTCCTATAACATTTCTATATTAAAACTTACTGCAATTGAAATGTACGTCGTACGCTTGTCCAAGTATGCACAAAGAAAAGAAATATCAAAGAACCAAGAACATTAAATGTTGGTAGTTGCTGGAAGACCCAATTTCAGGCAAAAGGACTCTGCACCATGCAACACAAGCAGTCCCATTTTTAGTATCACGGGTTTTCAAATGCTTTAACATGTAGACATTAAAAAAATATAAAAAATATTATATATATTGTTGTGACCAAGTAATCGGTTAAGGAATAACAAAACAAGTGGTTGCAGATAAATAGTGTATTGAACAGTAAATACAACAGAAGTGGGTTACACGACTTGGGAGTGTGTGTCGGTTGACCAGCATTCAGTCTATATCACCATTATATTTAACGGCTCCCACCACGTGGGTCGTATGTGGCACAATGCCGGTTTAGCGTGGTTTCTCCGAGCCCGTAAGCTTGGCCAAAAATATTCCCTTTGAACCCGTGTAAAGCTGTCTACCTCGTCGGACGCCACTTTGCCCTTCGGCAGAGCCTCGTCCGGCTTTCTCTCTGCAGAAGCAGAGTGTTTGACAGTAATGAACGGTCTATATCACCATTCCCCCGAGGCTTACTTTCCTGCTACTTTATAGTAAATGGAAGTGTCCACAGAAACCTCATTAGAGGGATGACACCACATGTGTGTTTGTGTGTGTGTGTGTGTGTGTGTGTGTGTGTGTGTGTGTGTGTGTGTGTGTGTAAAGTGAAAATTAAAATCAACAACCAGCAGCGACAGTCAGTTTCATGCTTAAACGTATTTGTCAGGCCTGTTTACATATAATCTGTTTTATGCTTCAACTCAATTCTCAATCTCCAGGCCTGAAAATTGCGTTGAAACATGAAACAGGCTGTCGCCGCTTGGTTTTGACCTCAGTATCCACTTTTTATTTATATCTATCTATCTATCTATCTATCTATATATATATATATATATATATATATATATATATATATATATATATATATTTAATTGCTTTTAAATGTTATTTTTGTGCATACTCATATTTAAGTACACGCTCCGTTTTATTTTAAACCGTATTTCGTCTATCGAGAAAACTTATTAGAGGAGGGTACATTTGTTAATAAGTTTTTTTCGAATGTACAGGTCAGTAGATGAAATAAATACTATTTAAAATAAAACAGAGCGTCTGCTTATATACGGGTATCCACTGAAAGTAACTTTTAAAGTAATAAAAATATGTCGGATATTTTATTACTTTAATTTTAGCAAAGGCCGCTAGATGCAATAAATACTGTTTACATACGCTCTATCACAGATATTGAGCACTTGAACCTAATAAATATAACATACCTTAAATCATCATTATCTTCAATACATCTTTACAATTTAAAAATATTTTCTCTCTTTAAATGACTAGTAAAAGTTTGATAAGTCGTAAAAAACAAATCTATCTTTCTATAGATCTATAGATCTATCTATCTATGACTGTGGACCTAATACTTATGTTGTGATGTCCATCTATCCGACTCTATTACTATCTATCTATCTATCTATCTATCTATCTATCTATCTATCTATCTATCTATCTATCTATCTCGTTCTGTTTCGATTAAGCTTACGTTGCAAACTAATTTCTTGTTTAGTATGCTCAGTAGCTGATTCTGCCGCTCGGGAACTGGGCAAAATGCTGAGGGGCTGATCAGTGTGTGGGTTGCCAAGGCCTCCTGGCACCTCGCCAGCGGGCTGAAAATCCAATATCTATAGCCATTTCGGGCTTTTAATCTATCCCTACTTATGATTCTCAATTGGCTCTCCACTAGTCCGTCTTATTTCACAACAATTTAAGCTTAATAAATGACTATATGTTATTATGCATATATTAATATGCTCTCTATATATTTATACATAATTCCATATTACAACGGATGCTCCAAATGTGATACCGGCTATTTATTTCCACGGAAAATACAACAGTTACAGAGCGTGACTCTTTTGAAAACACTATTTCCAACATCCTCACCACCGGTCGTTAGGTGTTTTTATTATCGATAAGCAAGAGCCTGCACACCGTCCATAAAATTCACCAACGAAGCTGGGCAATTGTAACATGCACATCTCTGCCATCACTGTTGAAACACATTACCCATCACCTAACTCTGCTCATATCCATTGTTTGGTCTTCGTAAATGTTCCGTAAACGTTGATGATTATCAATTGGTCCACCTTTTCTGCATGGAGTAATTCAATAATATACCTTTTCTTCGTACGTACTTTCAGGCCAGACGTCAGTTTACCAAGTTACCGTTCATCTGCAATCTGAAACAAAGCAAAAACAATTATATGTTATTTGAATGTTGCGAAGGTTCAATACAATTTATCGCTAAAGGTCTAGGAAAAATGGTCAATTTCTTGTAGATCTTTTCGATTTCTAGATATTTGTGGACAAAAGTTTTTCCTTATTTACATTATTCGGACGATTGTCCTCATCTTTGTCGCCATATTTATTCCAACGTTTCGGTCGTTGTATGCTCCGGCCTTCTTCAGGCGTTTGCAATGTCGAACTGAACCCTTTATTTCGCTCACTGGGGTAGACTGTTCTAGTTCCACGTGCCATGTTTTAATGGATGTCAGTTATCTCCTGTTAATTTCCCTCTGAAAGTTCTCCAATGCCTTAACCGGGTATTGAACTCACACTCGTTGGGCCCTGTTACTAACGCCTTTATTCACTGTGCCATGTGTCCTTGAGAACAGTCTACCCCAGTGAGCGAAATAAAGGGTTCAGTTCGACATTCCAACCATCTGAAGAAGGCCGAAGCGTACAACGCCCGAAACATTGGAATAAATATGGTGACAAAGATGAGGAAAATAGTCCGAATAATGTAAATAATGCATATAATACCTCATCTCAGAAATATAGAGAGAAACAAAAGGTTTTCCTATTCACAAGTGACATCGGTAACAGCCTTTAAGATATGCAGATAGGAAAGCGTTTGATAGTTTTAAATTGATTATAGACTAGCCTTTGCCAAAATCAGACAGTCTTACCTTCCATATTTTTTTAAATTTTCATTATGAAGAGACACGTAAAATGATTTGCTTTTACAACCCCCACCCCAAAAGAGGAAAAATAAATAATTACGCCTGTAAGATATTCTGAGACCATAATTCGAGAAAATATTAATCCTTATCTTTGAAAAGAAACTCTAATATCATATGAAAATCTTTCTCAACAACCAGTCATAAAGCCGATTTTTTCTTTTTATTCTTTCTTTTTTCGTTGTTTTTTTTTTTTTTTTTTTTCTTATTTTAGGATTTATTTACGCTGATATCACAAGGACTCTCTATTTTCTTTCCGTGTGAATTTGAAAAGACTTGTTATTGCTGTTCAATGATTCTGACCTAAACATCCTGATCTTTTGAGACCATTTTTTCACAATGTTTTGCCCGAGCAGTAGCGTGCTGAAGAAGGAGACAGGGGATGGGACGGCCCCAAGCATCCATATTGGAAGGGCATCAAATCAAAGAGTGAAATGAAAATTTAGTTTATACTTAATTTAGTACACTCGGGTCGGAGTCGCGATCCGTCTTGGACTCAAATTATGTGAGCCTCACAGATGCAAATGTGGAGCTTCCATCGATTAGTTTGGTTTGCATCCTCTCTCCTGTCGTCGTAGTGTCGGCCGCTTTCCACGGCATGCAGCAATAAACGACATCATCAGAAGAGGTCTGGATGCAGCTGGGTTTCCTTCCCAAATTGAACCCGTAGGCCTCGACCGTGGTGATGGAAAGCGGTCGGATGGCATTACCATTTTCCCTTTTAAAATGAGGAAGTCGTTGGTTTGGGATGCGACCTGTGCGGATACATTTTCGGCCGGTAATTTAATCATGTCCTCTGTTGAGCCGGGGTCCGTCGCCCGCGACGCAGAGATAAAAAATAGTTAAATATTCTTCTCTTGCTGATAGATGTTTTGTTTTTACTCCTGTGCCAGTGGACATTTCTGGGGTTATTGGCCCTCGTTCGATGGCGTTCCTTCGGAGGAATGGCGCGATGGCGTCTCGATTAAGGGACGAGCCTCGCAAAACAGAGTGGCTCTTGCAGCGTGTCTCACTGGTGATGATTCGTTGAAATGCGTTCTCCGTCATTGCGGCTGGGAGAGGATAGAAAAAATTGTTTATAGTTCCTTTCTCCAAACTTTTTTTTTCAGTAAATAAATTTCTCTATATTTCAAATTTTAAATAAACCTTCAACGGAAAAAAAATTAATTTGGATAAAGTGTTTATTTCATGTTTCATCTGTTTTTACATATTTAAAATGTCTTCCTTTCTCACATTTCACAGTACTAGGCCCTATAGCCACCCCTTTTTTGAGTCTTAGGGACATACAATCAAGGAGTTGACCCAGGCATCACCAAACATCACTCTGCACATCACTAAGTCCAAGTTTTATAGGTGAATCTATCCAGTGTAGTCCGCCTTATTTCTCTTCTAATCCAGAAATTGCAATACGATTGTTATGGTTCATTCTGTTATCGAATGTTTGTCAAAACTACAAAATTTAGCACTGAATAACCTTGCAAAGGTTTATACGCTATAAACCAAATCAAACCAGTCAGAAAAGAACAATACTTTCCTTGAGCTCTATTCGTTTCTTTATTTATTTGTATGATCTTTGCATATAATGTGAAACGTGTAAAAAAAACTTCGAAATTATCTACATTGTTCGTACTGTTGTCGTCATCTTTGTTGCCACATTCACAACGATCCGGCCTATTCTATGATTAGAATTTCGAACCAATCATTTTATCTTGTCCACCGGTGTAGATTGTTCTAATTCCACGTGCTATGCCTCTTTCTGATATCTCAGTTTCAATTTCAGTTATTTCCCTTTAGTAACTCTCCAAGTTTTTATTCCCTTTGTTGTGGCCAGGTATTGAACTCACAACTCTTTGAGTCAAGTCACTTGATTACTTCAACCAATGCTTTTACCCACTAGGAGAATTTTGGGAGCTAATAGATCTAAGGCCTTCGAAACCATTTTTTATCATTCGGAACTCTCAAGTATGTACGATGAATTTTGAGCATCTTTTCTTTAATCTTAAATTTAGTTGCTTTGTTTACTAAAGGCTACGAACTGAAAGTCTGGTTTGAGCTTTTGCAATGTTTTCATTTGCGAGACACTTTTTAAGGAAAACGTTTTTTTTCGGATTATTATTCTGATAGTGCTAATCTCTGACACGATTTCAACTTCCCATATAAACTGCAAGAAGATTTTTCTCTCGCCATTTTTAAGGTGAATCGTCAAATGTCTGTTGACCATGTTCGCCAAGTCTATGAATATAGAATACAGCGCAGTACGCAATCTCTTCAATAAAACAACGTTAATACTCACGAGTCAGACACTCTACTGGATCTGAATATATCGCCAATACTACCAGCAGCTCTTCCGTAATTCTTCAGTCTTCGATATCCGAGGTTGGCAGTGAATATTCGGGAAGAAAAACATGGCTACCTTTATACACGTCGCATTGAATATTTTGAGCCTTCTGATTGGTTAACCCTTCTATTGGTGAACTATAAAATGGGTCAGCTCATTTTGGCTCGCTCACTAGTACTGGGGTACCCAAAAATTCCAACAATGTCAACTACAATAATTCAATGAAGAATTTAGTTAATAGTTAAAGAACCTGTAATTAATTACACTAAAGAATGACAGTACGCGCATTTCCAAAGTTCTGGCTGGGTAGATATCATGAAAAACAACTAAAGATAAGATAAACGAAACAGTAGCCAAATATTTATAATTGTTGACAGGGCTTCAGCTATATAAAAATCAAGATAACGTGACTATATTTTTTTATTTTAAGGAAGGTTGAGACGGTGAAAATATGGCCTTGTAAAAATCTTCAGCTCGCTCACAATGAAAAAAGGAATAGAAAAGAAGAAAGAAGATAGAATGTCATTCCAAATTTTTTATATTTCAGAAATAATTCAGATGATTTTTTTTAGTCCAGTTTCTTCTCATGAACACAGTTTTGTACAGTGGGAAATAGACTCGATCCGATTTCTTAATGGCTCCTCTTACTACTTTCATTCAGACTTTTACTCGATCTGTTACTCGAACTGGTTACTTCATACACTGTATTTTATTTATAACTGGCGCGTGGATATAGTAGTGAACACAAGAATATATACGAATATTTATTGGGAAAATGATTAGTTCTATTTGAATTTGCGTTACTTAAAGATTATAAAATGTCTAATCATTTAATAAATCCGCATGCTTAAAACCTTTTTGTTATGGCTACATTTCATGATTTGTTTTTCTAACTCTCATAACATCACAATCGTTACAGGGACACAGTTCTTAGTGTGTGGACTGTTCTTATCAATACATTTTTTGTATTTCTCTTAAGCTGATATTTCCAGGGATTTTTTTAATGTGTTGTTGTGTTCCTTTTTTATCATTCCAAGCGCATCTACTATGACTGGTACTATTCTTTGCAATTTCCACATTTATTTTTCTATTTCGATTTCCAGGTCTTTATACTTCGACAGTTTTTTTTCCACTTCTTTGGTTGCTATGTTGCAGTCCGCTAGGCAAGCGATGTCAATTAGTAGACAAGTTTTTTTTTTCTTTTCCGTTTTTGACAATTATGTCCCGTCTATTTATTTCAATTATCATTATTTTTATTATTATTAATATTATTATTATTATTATTCATGATATTTCTATCCTCTTGTATGGTAGCGAATACTGGGCAATTTTCTTACAGATAAGAAAAGATTCGAACCTACAGAGATGTAGTTTTAGAGACAGATGCTGAAAATACCGCAAACCGAACATGTAAGTAACGAAGGACATTTGAAGAAAATCAAAACTAGAAACACTTCGAAGGTGAGGTCAGGTGTGTAGAATAAGGTATTTTATCACACTGAGAGACGCAATCAAGTGAGAAATAAGCCACCCGAGGCCTTTGACCAAATCTATTTAGCAATGAGTTCACCTTCAAAATTATAAGCTAGCTGTCTGTATTGGATCTTATTTTAATTTATGCATATGTACCTACGTATATTATTTGATTATTATAATTTTTTAAAATATTATTCCTTCTTCTTGGCTACCTGCATTTAACGGAATTTTCTATCTAACTGGTCAGCCTTTACCTGCAGATTGAAGAATCTTGTAAGTTTGGGTCTCTATATTTTAAGAGAAGAAAGAGGGTGAGAGGGAGTAAGGGAGAGAAAGAAATGAAGAAAATCCCAACTTGTTCCAAAATAATTGCTTCTTCTCTTTCCCGTTTGACTTCTCTTCCTAGTGCGACATGAGGTCAGGTGTGTAGCATAAGATATTTTACCATTTTCAAAGACATACTCAAAATCAGAAAGAGAGAAAACGGCTTGTAAAATTTAATACTCACATGACGTATGGAGAGAAGGAAGCGTAGAGGTAAGCAGTAAGCCATTTACTTAATGAGTTTGGGTTAATGAATGGCAGAACAGGAACAAGGATATTAAAGAGTCAAAGGTCACTTCCTGCTACGAGGGAAAGAAGAGACACAGCACATAAATGATTATTTTTAATATTTCTTCATAGAATATTCACACCAGCATCAATGGCGATGTAATTCTGATATTAGGTGGCAGCAAATCTCTTCAATACTCTAGCACTTTTTTCTATTTTACCAGTGCCGTTGTTTTGAAAAGAGTTCTTAGTGATCCAATAACGACTGGTACAACATTCATATTCTACAATTTGCTCAGTTCTCTGAAAAGGTCAAACTAATTATCTGCATTTGTACTGTCAGTTCTGTTCTTTCGTCTACCAAAACTGCATTAGTTTGTGCACCAGATGGCTTACAGTGAAGATCAAATGACAACATGTCCTACCAATAGTCGAATACTTTTCTTAGTATTCAATTTGTTATCAATAATACTATTGTTTGGATAGTCTCGAATCTTGTTTGATTTTTTTTCTTTGCAAGTCTTTTCAGAACTATTCCAAGTGATCCATATGTGATGGGCACAACAGCAAGTTACACAATTTTTCACTTCTACGAAGATTAAATAATTATCCACTTTTTCACATTCAATTTAATTTGATAGACTAGCCATATACACTGACAAGTCTTCTTTCTTTTTGTTTGATTAGAACTGTTTTTTGGCTGGATTCACTCAAGCGCCGTAGGCACACCTGAGGAATATAGCGCCACGCTAGGCTACTCAAGTTTCCATAGCGTTGTAACCAAGAAAAATTACTGAATGAGAAATAACCAAAACGGGGGTTGGAGATGAAATGGTAATCTTTATAACATCAACAAAATACAATACTCGCCAGCGGCGTCAAGTAGGTAAACCACTGCTAGTGGTGGACTACATAGACAGCATATTACACCCACTTGCAATAGTTTCAAACGTATTTATTAGAATTAGGCCATACCAATTAGTATTTATATGTACGATATATAACATATAGCAAGCAGGGTTCTTACAGGATGGGGTTGATAGCACCATCCCAAGCCATTTTTTAATCCAGAGTTCTAGACTGGTTACCAAACAAAGTCAAAAAGCCCAGCCTGTCCTACTGTTTAACCCATAGCTGGGTAGAAAAGAGATGGAATCATACATTTGCCAAGCGTATTTGCGTGAAAGTACATGTAACGAAACTCGACTAAAATTCTAAATCGATTTACATTTTTCGGGTTCCAAGACACTGACTACTACACCGCCTGTACTTCCTTTAGTCTGGATTAAGTGATTGGTTTTAATCTCAAGTCCTACAGGAATGTCGTGATTTTTATTCTCTCGTAAATATTCTGGGTTTAGGCATATATTATGTTCAAATCTGTTATTTTATTTTTATGTTCAAATCATTGCCCAGTTAGCATTGGAAAATATTCCCCCATTCAATCATGAAGCTCTCAGTAAATATGGCGCATTCACTCATTATATGTTGAAAACTTTCGTGTATGATGATTTTCTAAGCCTAACTTAGATGTAGCACAAGGCCGAATGTGTTGAGCAATAATAAGTATAAAACTCACTACTCGATCGTAACTGATCTAGCGAGACAAGCTTGCTAACCATTAGCGTCGAAGTGCCCTTCGTGTATATATCGGCGTACCTTCAAACTTTATCAGTCTCAGAAGCGGCCATTTTTCACAAATATAAAAACAGTTTGACACACGACGCCTAGAAGCAGCTCACCCAAACAAAATTTAAATATAAATAGTAAATTTAAGCTCGGAATTTAGAACCAATTGAAAACAGTTTTATCAACGAAAACGCTATCTTTGGGAAAACTACTTTGAGACATTAAATAGAAACGAGAAATGAATTTTCTTCCGGCAGGTCTAAGCAACGCGATACTATCACAATTCTCTACAACAACATTTAGAGGTTGGTCACAAGAGATTCCTTCTTGGAGATTACTTATCTCAATTAACAGTCGCTCACTACATGACAGAACATTTTGCATTACAAGTAAAACATTTTTTTTCATATTGGCATTGTTAGGGGATGCTAAGTTACTTCCCTTATAAAGGACAATAACTCAAAATGCAATTGAATTACTTCCCTTGTCTGGAAAATGGGCGCGTCACGTCTGAATTAAACATGGTGACGAGATGACACGCACGTGAAATTCATGGTTTCAAATCGAACAAATCCTTGTTGTACTCAGTAATTGAATAAAAATTTATTATTATTATTATTATTATTATTAGTTAAAATACACTTATCTGTTATTTTCATTCCAACGACCTGGGATATAACAGGCATTCATTAAAATAAGTCTTTACGTTTTCTTATATAACGCAGATTCTACAAAAGGATTTTTTCTAGGGACACTCAGTTACACACGCTTTTTTCTCTACAAACATTTTACAAACTTCTAACCTTTCAAAGCAGTTTCACACCGTCTGTAATATTGTTTGATATTCCTGTATAAGCTCATGTTATTTATTACATAAAACTTAAATTGGTTCATATTTTTGCTTTACATTTCCTAATCCTTACATTCGTGACTTGGTTAATCTATCTTTCTTCTTTGGTCTATTTAATAATAAACCACGACCTCTGTTTTGTCCCCAACAAAGACTGTAGTGGACCGATGAGTTGTTAAATTAGGAACACGCGTGTTTATTCCTGCTAGAAGAAGGTCCACTAAAAGAACATAGCGGACTCAGAGATTGAATCCACCATAAAGAAGTGTAAAGAAAACAAACAAGACCGATATATAAATACAAACAAGTATATGTATTAAACAACAAAATTTACAATGGACAAAGACATCAACATTTGTGTTTGTGCATGAACGTAAAGAGTTTGTATTTTGATGAATGTTCATACGTACGTGTATGTGTGTGCTTGTTTCATGGCGTTTTCCCAGAAGTGGGCAAAAACGCAGATCTCCGCGAGAGATCATAATTTTAAATGTGTCCGTTGAAATGCAAAGTAAAAAGAGATCGAGGCAATAAATTTCCCAGTATTTATAGTGTAGGGAGAGTGTGCGCAAGTGAACAATTAGGAAATTAAGGAGGAGTTAACTCCAACAAAGCTACTAGTGCCTTTTACATACCGCTACACTATTACTAAACATTTTGCATTGATTGTGTTTTTCTCTTGCCTATCGTCGCCCTACTTATTTGAGGTCACTATTAATACAGGTAAGTCAGTGTGAAGGGATAGCAAGGTTTGTCTGGTTGGCTGTGTAATGAGTTCGATCTTCATTTGGTATTCCATACAAAATTCGGCATTAAATAATTCAACAATGGTTGACATGTCCTAAAATCAACCGATCAACATTAATAAAAATTCAGTTACTCTCTTCAGATGTCTTCTGCGCAATCCTGCTCATGGCGTTTTTCAACAGTTCTTTCAGCTTGTCTCCTGATCTACGTCAGCCTTTGCTTTGCTTTCCATTTTAAAGTGCACTATTCTTCTATTCATCGTCATCATTGTCATTATTATTATTATTATTCGCAAAACTGTTGCTCTGTGTTTGAGTATTTTTATTAATTTTATTTCTGTTCATTTCATTTTCGCCTGACGAAGGTACAGCACTTTTTCTTCTCATTCCCCGTTTGTTCAATGTCCTTCCGTTTCTTATTTATATATCAATTTAACAATCATTTCATCAATCATTTACTCTCTTTAATTTCATACTTGTCGCTCTCTTTCTTACTCTCTCTTTTTTGTCCATGTTGCATCTCTTTCTTTTTTACTCTTTTCTTTCACTTCTTTCTTCGATTCTTTTCTTCGTTCTCTTTACCTATTTTAATCTCTCTGGCACTCATTTATTTAATCTCTTCTTTTGGCGTTTGTTTCTTTTTCCTTTTCTTTTTCTTGCCCTTTCTCGTATCCGCTTTCCAATTTTTCTTTCTTTCTTTAGTTTTTACGCCATCATTTTTCTTTTTCTTTCTTTCTTTCTTTCTTTCTATTTACTAATTTACTTGTCTTAGTGTTTCACGTTCCTGCTTTCCTATATTTATTTTTATTCTTTCTTTTTGCTTTCTTTCTTTATTTTCTTCTTTAGTTTTCTCTCTTTTCCGCTTTTCAATTTATTTTCTTCTTTTCGCCATCCTTTTCTTTTCTTTACCATTTTTTCTTTATTTATTTTAAGCTGTCTCTCGTTGCCGCTTTGATTTGGTTTTCTTTTCTTCTGTTTTCTATTCTGATTTTTTTTCTGCCTAATTTTCTTCTATCTTCTCATTTTCTCTTTTTTTACTATTATTTTTCTCTCTTACTCTTTCTCTCCCTCTTTTTCTCTTTTTTTCTCTCTCTCTCTCCCTCTCTCTCTCTCTCTGTCCACTGCATTCCCCATATATATATTTTTTAATTCCCACATCTAACACCTTCGTATCCTCGACTTCCAGCCTCGCTCACAGTTTATCTCAGCGTACCAAACCCGTACTCTCTGACCGGACAACCAAGATTACAGGAAACTGATTCATCTCTGCGTTGATCTCATTGTCTGTCCAAACAAGAGAACGGCAAGCTAAACACACAAAAATCTGACGACACTTCCCTGTAAACATCACCAACCAAGATGAAGCAACCATTTTGGGCAAGGCTCCAACCACATACAAAGCCGGAGCCAAACCTTTGACGCAAACATCGACAAATGTTCACACTCAAGCATATAAATAACACACATACGTACATAAATACACACATACACATATATATGTGCGTACCAAAACACGTACACTAAGATTATATCCATATTCTCACGAGCATATTTCTACCAATTCTGTGCACTTAGATATACCTTAAAATACATACACACGCTATTTTCCATGTACAGGCACATGCAGAAATTCATGCAGGTGTACACGTAAATGATTATAGATGTGATTTCACATATACACTGATGAGTACACGTCCATAAATACAGCAAGCGAGAAAGAGAAATATAGATATGCTGTCATGTCTGCCTACGTGTACATCACACATGTACAACGATATAGGTATATATTAACCCATCCGCAAAACTGCACATAGACATTTGTGTGAACATCGAACTTATAGTACGGATGCACACAAACACAGAAATACGCAGAGAAATATAGGTATCTGGAAATAAAAAAAAATGTTCATTTAGTATCAGTCTATATCTCTGAGACGAGGGATTATGATTACTTACCTTATTTACATTATTCGGACTGTCATTCTCGACTTCATTGCCATATTCACACCGTTTCGGCCGTTATACGTCCCGACCTTCTCCAGGTGTTTGGAATTTCGACGAACCCTTTATTTCGGCCACCGGGGTAGATTGTTCTAGTTCCACGTGCCATGCCTCTTCCAAATGTCTCAGTTATGTCCCTTTAACTCAATTCTCCAAGTTTAGTTCACCACTACTGTGGCCTGATATTGAACTCAGAACGTCTTTATCCACTGTGCCCTGTGTCTTTGAGGGTTCGGTTGAAATTCCAATCAGCTGATTTAAATGGATAATATTTTTTTCATTAAAATATTTTTATTCCTTAATAATATATTTTTTTTAAATATATTCTTTCTTAATACAAACTGAATATGATTTATTGTTAATCTTGTTTTATATATATATATATATATAAATATATATATATAATTATTTATTTAAAAATATGATTCCAACACGCTACATAAGAGGTCTCATGTTTCAAAACGAGAGCCGAAAACTTCAATATAATTATTTGAATAGTCTGGTTTACGTGTCTATGGAGATTTATTTATTTTTTTATTTATTTTTTTCTGAAAGGGTTTTGTGTATATAAAAAAAAAATACTGCCGTAACATTTGTTTTTTGACGACTTCATAAAGGGTTATCTTTTTTTGTAGGGTATTTAAACTATTTATTAGGACTATGGATTTTAAAATTATTTTATTGTTTGTTTGTTCTTATGCTAATTATTCAATGCAAAAATTTGATGATGTCGGCAAAAAACCGTTAACTCATGTCTATTGTTCAATAGATTTTTATTATTTAGAAACTTAATAATGTGTAGTTTTTCATGTAGGCATAAAGGGCATGGGTCATCCCAAGTTTTACAAGTTCTAGTTTTGTTTATAATTTTCCAAAATAGAAGTTCTAGTTTTGTTTATAATTTTCCATTTTGGAAAATTATAAACAAAACCCTACAATAAAAGATAACCCTTTATGAAGTCGTCAAAAAATAAATGTTACGGCAGTTTTTATATATATATATATATATATATACACAAAACCCTTTCAGAAAAAAATAAAATAAATAAATCTCCATAGACACGTAAACCAGACTAGGCGAAATCATCTTCCGTTTTAAATTTAGACACCCCAACCTTACCCTGACTTGACATCTGTGAATGTAACTCTATACTGATACAAATTATTAACACCTACACCCCTCTTTATTTAAACAATCGCTCTAGCCGTTACAATAGAAATTTTGATTTCAATAATGAATATGCTATTAAAACACGTAAATTTCAGAAATAAGTTATTCTAAAAAAAAATTTCGCTTGAAGATGGAACAGAGCTTACTTTAATTCAATTTAATTCAAATGATTATATTGACGTTTTCGGCTCTTATTTTGAAACATGAGACCTCTTATGTAGCGTTTTGGAATCATATTTTTAAATAAATAATTATATTTATGCTCTACTTTTGTATCAAGCACTATTTTTTTAAAATAATAAAAAAAAAATACTAAAGAACTTTTGGATTATTTACCTAACGAGTTCTTTCCTATTTTCTATATATTCACACACACACACACACACACACACACACACACACACATATATATATATATATATATATATATATATATATATATATATATAATTGTAGGATTGGTGTATACGGAATAAATTCCAATAACCAACAATTACTATTCTTAAAAGAGTGCTCAATACAGAGTAGAGCGAATATAATTATTTATTATATAAATAATTATATATATATATATATATATATATATATATATATTTTTTGTGCATATCTTGGTATTTTTTGTGGGAACCAATTTTCTATAGAATAAATTTCGTTTTAGAAAACTCTTTTTTTTTCGGCCTTCCTTTATTTTCACTTCATCTTTCTTATAACAAACAATTTGGGGTCCTAACGTCGATATCTGGGTTGAATTTATGGATCTTCTTTCCTTTTAAGAAAATTACTTCCACCCTCCCCTTATCACTACTCAAGTAGTCTATCCTGTTGCGGCTTCGATATGGGTAGGTTCTGTATCAATTTTAAATCTCTAGTTCCAACACTGAATACAGTCCATCCGTCTGGATTGAATAAGACTGACGTACTTGGTGTAAGCTGAAATAGACTATACCCATGAAGTAATTTTTAAATTCTCTGTTGTATATATATATATATATATATATATATATATATATATATATATATATATAACTATGAACCTAAAAAGAACCAGGCAAACCTACCTAGGTTTCACCTACCCGGATCGTCAGTGTCCGCTGGGCCTGACGAACCGCGTGCCCTGACGATCCGCGTAGGTGAAACCTAGATAGGTTTGCCTGGTTCTTTCGGTTCATATTTAGATTTGCTCTACTTAGTGTATTGAACACTTTGCTTAGTTATTTTTGCTTTACTCGTGTTTGAGTGTTTTTTTCTTTGGACTCTGTGCTTGGATTTTGAACGATTGTTTTCGCCTGAATTACATGTTTTTATTTTTTTTTTTTTTTTTTTATACCTTCTTTTTCCTTGGGTATTGGTTTGTTCATTTACAAGCCAAGACACCCAAGGTTTTTCCAGACGAGTATAATTACTTATATTTATAAGATTATTATTACTATATATATATATATATATATATATATATATATATATATATATGGAAAAACAATTTCGTGCGGCTTGTTGCATGCTTTAAGATTTCGACAGACGAAAGACGTCACACGAAAAAAATGTTTCCACTTTGTCACAGATTTTCCTAAAATTGTTCTGATATATAAAAATGCATATATTGTTTTCCCATACATATACATCTCAATTCTTTTAGGCAAAAACGTACGGTTGCTTGGGTTGATGACAGAAAACTATAAGCTTGCATGCAGTTGTAATTGAGTTGTGATTGTTTATTAGCGGAAATCAGCTTAAAATGTCTGCAGAGAATAGAAAGTGTCAGATAAAAAGATGCATTACCCAAAGTTCTGATTGAGTGAAAGTCATATCTGTTGAACCGAAGAACTCATTTTCGCCTCTTGAACAAAATTGTTTTCTGGTATTACAACGATCATATAAGTATGAGACAAAAAAAATAATTGAATTTAAATCGACATAAACTGGGATAGGTTCTGTCAGGCTATTTTGAGTTCGATACACACCAACACTACGATGGTTGCAATAAATGTGGTGATGCTCTAACGACCCTAATTAAAAGACACGTGATGTGACATTATTAAAAAAACAAAAGAGCGATGATAGGGCAGCAGTTACAGAAGCAGAAAATGAATTCATTATGCGGAGTTCAATTCCCGCTAGATTCAATTCATCATAATGCCATTTAAAATGTATAAATGCATATTCTTCCACCAAGGCATACAACGCACTTTTACCTTAAGGTGGCAACCAGTATAAGAGAAGGAAAACTGAATTTAAAACCAGTTTTAAATGGGGTGGGCCTCATCCGACCAAAACGTACCAATACATCTATCAGAAATAAGCTTTTATTCAGATTTCTTTTTCATATTTATGTATATTAAACACTCTAGACCAATGACTAATAATTAAAAAAAAATTAAGTTTACGAAACTTAATAGGTGGTTCAGTTTGCTATGTAAATCCATTGTAAATTGATTCCCCTATGGAAGCCGAACAAATATGGGATTTCTTAAAATTAAGAAAAGTAACAAAAATTGAAATTTGTAATCTGGATTGATTTTTCATATATTACTATTGATTAAGAATTTGTAGCCGCTTTTTTTTAAATCAATTCAACCCAAGAAAGGCAATAATGCCACTAAGACGCAATGAGCTACTGGAAATGAAAGATAATGAAAAGACTTTAAAACGAACCGGAATACCAATCCTAAACAGAAAACAATTGTTAAAACTCTACCCATGTTCAGAAGATCAGGGAGGAGTGTGAACAGGGCAATAGGCGGACCTATTTAAACCTACTAAGGAAAAAAGTAAATAAATAGTAAATAAAATTTCAGAGTTTAGACGGAGAAGCTTGAAGTGCAGAAGTATAATTTTTTAATGAAACGGAAACCTAATCTTAAACTGGAATCAAGGGATAAAATTCTACTCCTGTTCAAAAGCTCAAGGAAGTGTGTAAAGAAGATGATAAGCGAACCTATTTATTCCTATTAGTATCTTTCATATAGAACATGTGTTA